AGTTGAGAAAACAAAGATAAAAACTAACACGCCTTGCCTGGCTGTTTACTTACAAGTTTGAAAGACTTGTTCAGAAAGATTTGGAGAGCCTGGATTGATGTCTGGTCCCTCTCAGTCCCAGGAGCGAACAACCCTCAAAACAAAGAGCACAAACAAAAGCCTTCCCCCCACCAAGATTTGAAAGTATCTTGTCCCCTTATTGGTCCTTTGGGTCAGGTGTCAGCCAGGTTACCTGAGCTTCTTAACCCTTTACAGGTAAAAGGATTTTGGAGTCTCTGGCCAGGAGGGATTGTATAGTACTGTACACCGGAGGGCTGTTACCCTTCCCTTTATAGTTATGACATGCCCCATTGCCCCTGGCTCCCGCTGCCTCCGTACCCACCTCCCCATCCAGGGCTCAATTTGTCCCCAGGATTGTCAGGGCTGAGTAAATCTGCTCTGAAAAGTGATATTTGTGTGTTTGCTAATATCACTTTTCACAGCAGACTTAGTAGCTAGCAAGTCTAAAAACAAAAGCAACCAAAAAAGCAAAAGAAACAATAAGAAAAAAGACAAGAACGTGCAACGCACCTTAATTGTATTTCTATTCCATTTAGGTCCAGTAAACAATAAAGATAACTGTATATTATTTTTATTATTGAGTCTGCAAAAAAAAAAATCCTACATAAATAAATTATAATGATTTGGACATTTATATGTGCATATTCATTTGTGTCAAGTATCAGAGGGGTAGCCGTGTTTGTTGCTTTTTACAGATTCAGACTGAGGGTCCTGTGGCACCTTTAAGACTAACAGAAGTATTGGGAGCATAAGCTTTCGTGGGTAAGAACCTCATTTCTTCACTTGCATCTGAAGAAGTGAGGTTCTTACCCACGAAAGCTTATGCTCCCAATACTTCTGTTAGTCTTAAAGGTGCCACAGGACCCTCTGTTGCTATATTCATTTGTGTTTCCTAAAGCTAATTAAGTATGTTAGGAAAAATTGTCAGAGCGGCCATCAGCAAGAGCTGGTGTCCGCACTCTGAGGCCACCAAAAAATGTGTTTTGAGAACCCCTAGACTAGATCATTTAATGAACAGAAAAAGCCTAACCAGACTGTTCCTCATTGGCTGTGGCTCTCTCATCAGATTACATAGGCTAAACGGGGTCAGAGCTGGATGGAAGACCTTTAAATGAAAACCTGCATACAGCAGGAAGTGCTGAAGCATCACACGGCACACTTTTCCGAGTCAGTACTGTGTTAGTGCCCCACTACTGTGCTGCCATCTTTCAGATAAAACCAAGGCCCTTATTGCTTGGCTGTTACACCAAGAAAGCATTTTTGTTAGAGTAGAGGGTACTGAGGATCTGTCCAGGGCAATGGGGCTAACAGGTGTAATTGCATTCTTTTGACCTAAAATTCCCATGTGGTTTCTTTTATGTCAGATTCTTTATCTGATGTCTTGATCTGTTTGGATCTGAACACTGCTGTGTAGTGTTAAATAGCTGCTACATTCCACATCAGTGGTAGATGAAGTGTAGTGCTGGCATATAGTATACGGAGCCCACACTTCCAAGACACTGAGTGCCCTCAGTAGGGCTCTGTGATTCCATCCCTCAGCTCATTTAAGTTATTCCTCCCTTTCCCCCAGCCTGGTTACTATACAAAGCAAAACACAGCATTTTACACAACTCCATACAAAAGGTGCACCAATGTTTGGAATGGAGCATGTAATTAAGCAAAGGAAAACAGAAGCTGAATATCTGCAAAAAAGTTGTGAGTGGCAAGAGCTGTTAGGCTGTGGTAGCCCTGATGTTGGGGGTCATTTAAAACTCTCTCTCTCTCTGAGTCAATCAATATCAACACACATTACAAATTCAAAAACGGTTTATTTAGCATTACTAGCTTAAAATACAAATGTTAACAATTAAATGCACAATAATATACTGTTTTTATGTAAAATAAAGGCCATGCAAAACTGCCTTCTTTAAAAAAATACAATATCTACTTAAAGTATTTAAACACTTCAAGATAACTAGGGAGAAATGTACTGCAAGTTGTTTTTAGTGTTCTTTGTTAAATTGTACAGATTTTACAAGTGAATTTGGTGCTGGCGAAAGATGCTAGATTAGCAGCACTGGAGACTCATCTCCACTTAATCCATAGACCAAATACACCATAGGTGCAAGCTTCCGACCATCACCTCCTGTTACTCATCTGGGAGATGCCATCTGTGTGGGTGAGCAGGCAGGTCAGTCTCCATGGCTATTTGAACCTTTGGCCTCTTTACTAAAACATCATAAAAAAACACTGCAATTGGCTGGGAACGAATATGACACTGGGAAATAGTCTACAACCCTAAATTCACATGGGCCCACCAGATGACATATTTTGGTTACTATCAGCCCTGTCTCGATTTGAACCAAGTGGTAAACATCATAGTGGTGGGTTTTTTTTTTACAACAAAGTGTAGGTAAATAAAGCTATAAAGCAAACAGATCAGGAGATGAAAACCCTTCCTCAGAAGAATACGACTTCAATTATTACTTTGGCAGGATCAGACCCAATCTTTGGCAGAGCTCATGAAGAACCACCAGCCTCCCTCCATTACTGAAATGTTATCAAGCATTTTCTTCCTGTATATGACAGAAAGAGCTTTTCATATTGTACCAAAGATTTATTGCAAAAGACAGCATCTTGAATACCTTCAGAGGGACAGCCATCAAACTTTAAAATATTAAATCCTCTTTTGCTAGAAATTCTGTTCTGGTCAGAGATTTTCACTGTTTAAGAATAGTGAAGGGGGGGGGGAGAATAAACAGCCCCAACCTGAATGATTGGGAGACAAAAAGTTTGGCTAAAAGCTAGGTCTCAGTTTCTTGCAGGGGAGACTGTTCTGGCAGGCAATGACGTGTCTCCCTTGCCCTGTAATGATCTGTGTCTGAAGATACAAAGGCAGCATTGTCCATTAACCAACTCAACTGCAATATCAGGAAACAGAAATCCTGACCTTCTGCCTAGGGAGCAGTTCAAGGGCACAGCCAGCAGGACTGATAACGAGGTTTGATATTCTATCCAATAGAGTATCAGAGGGGTAGCCGTGTTAGTCTGAATCTGTAAAAAGCAACAGAGGGTCCTGTGGCACCTTTAAGACTAACAGAAGTCTTCTCCTGTTAGTCTTAAAAGGTGCCACAGGACCCTCTGTTGCTTTATCCAATAGAGGGCAGTGGTGCACACACACACTAGCTAGTTGATCCCCTGGCTCAAGGAGCACTTGCCTTTGCTCAACCAGCAGAGAAAACTAACTACACATGAGCAGATCTTTGCACAGACCCAAATGTGATTTTTTTAAAAGACACCAGGTGCCAATACCTACTATGGAACTGAGGTGGGAAAGGGATGAGGAAAACACTAAATCAGTGCATCTAAAGTCACGCTGCACCATAACCAAATGAAGTCACAACAACATTTGTAGGGCAGGCACAAATATCACTCAATGTTTTAGTTTCTGATCATTAATAAGCAAAATTATCCCAAACACAGACACTGGTATCCTGCCCCTGGTTCACAGGACTTAGGGATATAAAGACCAAAAAAATCATTAGAAAAACACTGGATGCTTGAAGATAACACTGTGGGTCACACTCCAAGATAACTATTTAGCGCACACACTAACTATGAAGCCAGATAGCGTGAAAACTATGTAATGGGATATGCAAAATAAAAATATTAAAATAAAGCTTTTAGCAGTATTACTAACACTACTTAGTCTTATTAAAACGAGAAGAATCTTAAAAATCAAACAGACTTAAATCAATTATACTATTCCAATTTCAGCTCCACCAGCAAAACTGGCTTGATTACTTATTTTCTCTTTCAGTCGTTTTTACTTCTTGGTTCTCAGGCACCAGCAAAGTGCTGGTGTCTTTGGGTTTCCAACAGTGACAGGGAAAGCGTAACCTTCCAAATACAGCTGCTTTTGATGGACTTTAAAAAGTCTCAAAAATATTTCTCTCCATATTAACTTTTATAAACACTTTCTGCATCCCCAACCCCAACCAAAAAACCCCAGGACAAAACAGAAATTGGAGTCTGCACTAGTTAGCAGTGTCCCCTTTAACTCATGAATGCAGCAGATATGATACAGGGAAAGGGGTGGGGATTTCAGCCAAAGAATGCTTTAAAGAAACCGAAATGCAGCAGTGAATAAGAGATAAAAATATTGTTCACAGTTCAAAGTCACGCCATTTGGGATTTTCAAAGGCACAAAGTGCAGTTAGACACCTGAATTTCCAAAGGCACAAAGGGAGTCACGCCCCCAACTTGGAAGTTGGGGGCGTGACTCCCTTTGTGCCTTTGGAAATTTCTACTGCACATTGTGAAGAACAAGGCTGAATGCTTCAACCAGCCAAGAAGTGCACCAGTAGCCACAAGCCGGAGACGCTCATTGCTCTCACAGTATGGTTCATTAATGGTACATGTAATTTAAAACATTGTTTAAAAATTCTTTGGCTGGTAGCAGGGGTCTGCGCAACGTGTTCTGCTCTGAAACAAAGTTCTTAGTAAGAGGATAAAAGGAAAGAGTAGGAAAATTATAAATACTATCTCTGCATTATTTGCCACCAGCTTTTTACACAGTCCCTGGACTATTTGCTCTCCTTGTCCATGTATCTTTATCCTCCCGAAGCCCAACTGCCTTTTTAACAGCAATTTGTGGCCTAGCAGCCTCTCTCTCAACTCATTTTCATTTATTGAAGCTATGGACTTGATTCACCACTGAGTTAGTCCACTTCTGAGCTGGTGAAACTCCACTGAGATCAGCAGCGACATAAAACCAGAGGGACACACTGGTGAATCTCTCTTCATCCCAAATGCCTCTCTTCATGCCCCTCCCTCTCTGCCCCATCCCTACAGAGTGCACAATTATCTTTATCCATCCTCCACTGATTTTCTCCTCCCCTTCCATGTTGTATGCGTGTGTTCCAGTGATGAGGCCCCACTTTTGGGAGGAGGGTCTCAGCTACAATATCATCAGAAAAATCCAGCCAAAATGTGACTCTGGACAATTAGTGTCCTCAGCCATACCCCAAGAACTGTGACCATGTACCACATACAACACTTTGCACAACAATGCACTGTACTGAGGTTAACAACAGAAGCCTTTGGGAGGTAGAGAAGTATTATTATCCCCATTTTACAGAAGGGGAGACTGAGGTTAATTGACTTGGCCAAGGCCACACAGCATATCAGTGCTAGAGCGAGATTAGAATTTGGGAGTTCTGGTCTCCTGACCTTTGGTTCAGTCCAGAATTTGCTGCCTCTCTGGGAGTTTTAATTCCAAGCTCACATTCAGAGAGGGAAATATATATTAGTTTGTGGGGTCTCTGCAAGTCTGACTGATGGGTTTAGCAGGGTTTGGTTTGGGGTTTTTTTGGTGCCTATGAAAGTGACAGGTGGTGCGCACCCAAGTATCACCATGCCCCTACCCCTCACTGCATCCCCTTATCCTCCATAAATACTACGGCACCTAAAATACACTTGTAGATATGCTAATTCTATAATATGCAATGAAATGGACATTGACCCACAGATCCCTGCACCCCCCACCTCTGTCAAGAATTTCTTGGGGGAGGGGCAGTTGGTACCACAGACTTGTGTAAATAATTACTGGTTATTGAGTCACACCTGCCCTCATGCTTGATACAACCATATGATCCAGAATCCTTTGGTGGCCTTTTATGTTTCTTCTCTTTAGCCAACCCATACTATAATGCATTACTGGATATACTGTATAAGAATCTGATCCTAGTTTTGAAGGCTGGGAGTCCTATATCCATAAATCTGAGCCCATTCAAATCAGATAGACTGAGACTGGGGTAAAGCACCATCAGGGACCGAGTAAGGTGAAATATGGCCCATGGACCAGCCAAAACAATGGGGCCCCAAATCTGCTTGAGTCCAGGCCAGTGAGTAGTGCGAGAGGTACAAACCTTCAGGTACTCTTCAGAGCAAAGGGCCCAGTTCAGCCACTATGTTCAATCCAGTCTTAATTCACCAACGATTACTCTGGGGTTCAGAAGGAATGTGAGGGTGACATAAGAAGCCATTTTCTAAAAGCTAACAGGCAATAGATGCTCCTTACCTCTAACCTAAGCAAACATTCAGCTGCTGGTGATAAATCGTAACGGATTACTCAAAGAAGGCTTACCAGTAAAAAACACACCACTCCATCCACTACTCCAGATTGGTAGGGAATAAAAACAGCCACCTGAACAGAAGCAGAGCGATGACCATTTTGTGTATGCAAGTCTGGTCACACACACACCCCACCCCACCCAATCTGCATCCCAGATTCAAAATATAGAGTTCCTGACATTTTACAGCCGTGCTGCAATATTCCTCAGGGGAACATACACTGTCTGAGGCCCCAGAGGTGAAAATGAGGTCTTGGGAAGATCTGTGTCTCTCCTAGATCCCACACTCACCCACCCACCCAGCATGCAATGATTCCAGAAAGGAAGGAGAGAAAACATTGTCGCGTATTTGGCTATTTTCCTGGATGGGAGAGAGGTCACCAAGCACCACGATAGTGTCAAAATGGGCTTGGTGTCACTCCATGCCTTGCCTTCCCCAGTTCACAGTTCCCCACTCCTCTGGCTCTCCAGCCACTCCCTCCTTATCTCCGCAATCTCCTGACCATACCAGTTGTGTAGCTTGGAGAAACAGGCTGTCTCTGGAGACACGGGGCTTTCCTGCCCAGTCAAAGAGAGGCCAGTGGCGAGTGCTCCGCCTCCACTGCCAACTGCCAAGCGCCGGCGAGGAGGCAGGGGCGGGGGTTTGGAACACCCCCCATCGTGGTCAGAGCAGGAGGCCCCTGCAGGGATGTAACCACTGCCCCATGTGGAGTAACCGTTCTCCAAGATGGGAGGCTGTTCCTGGACAAGCGCCATAGCAGGATTGGACAAATGCCTTTTTCTGCCAGATGACGACTTCCTTGGAGATTTGTGGCAGGCAGCCAAGCTCTTACGGGCATCCTCCAGCTGCTTCTCCAGCTCTCTCACCACCAAACGCATGTAGTCAAAGCTGGCTCGCGAAAGCGCCTTCACCCATCCCTCCATTGCGGCCTGGCAGTCGGCCACCAGCACGTAGGCCTTGGCGCCAGCGTCATCAAAGCGGATGGCAAAGGCAAACTCCTCGGCAGCCTCGCACAGTTCCACGGTGCAGCCCTCCAGCACAACAAGCCCAAGAGGATCCCGGCTCTCACGATCTTCAAAATAGAACAGCAGGTTGCCCTTGAGGATGAACCAGCGACGGTGGTAGGAAGTGGTGTGGTGGTGGTGGTGGTGATGGTGGTGCCGCTCGACACGCTTGTGGAGGAAGCCGGCATGGTCTGTCGGAGAGTCACATGTGGCATAATGCACCACACTTCGCTCATTCAGTTTCATCGTCCTGGCAGGGCAAAGACAGAGGTGGCAAGGGAGCCAGTTCAGTGCAAGGAACAACTCCTGCTTTGGAACAGACTATTAAGCCAGTTAGTGCAGTGTCCAATCTTCTCAAGTAGCAGCCACTGCTTAATATTGAAGAGGAAGGTGTAACACCCCCTCCCTCCCCCCACTGCACCACCTTACAAAGCAGTACTAGACCCTGGGAGCAACTTCATCCTGATTCCAGCAAATAATCATCATGATGTCTATTGTACAATGTTTAATACTAAGTGTCAGTGCAGATGTTGGGCCAGATCATCAACTCTGAAGCACAGCTCCTCTGAAGTCAGGGGAGCTGTGCCAGTTTACACCAGCTGAAGATCTGTGGCCTTTTATTCTGTTTTATTCAAACAAATGATTACTTCTTTACATTTTTGTGAATTTCACTATTTACTTCAATATCCTGCAGCAGTGAATTCCACAGTTTAACTGTGTGTCACTTAAGAGGTATTTTCCCTTTATTCCTTTTACATCAGTTGTCTCTTAATGCCGCCGAATGCTCTCTTACTCTAGTATTATGGGACAGGATAAACAGAAGGTGTCTTTCAAACTGAGCAATGTCTGTTACCTCCCCTCTGCAGCAAATGCTTTCCCTGCCCTCCCACTTGTCACCTACAAGACCAGCAGCAGCCCTCGGCCCAGTCCCCTTCCTTCAATGCAATAGCCTAGCTTGCCCAGAATGTGGACAGGATCGGGGATGGTGGCAAGGAGATACCATACCTTACCAGCTATGATGGTCAGACTGCAGCTCACTGCCCTCTTCCCTGAACAGGCTCGGTCTTTGACAAGGGTCCACAGTGCTCCATCCTTCTGCTCCCCACGTCCAGTCAGAGGGAAGGTACCGAAGAGAGGGTCACAGAGACCAGGGTAGTTGGAACTGAAACACAAGGTCACATCACTCAGATATATATTCTTCATCATAAAGTCAACAGAATGAACCTGAGCAGAGTTCACACTAATGGCAGGGCTGAGCACACGTTCAACAAGATTACCTGAACCACACTGTCAGGACCTGCCGAGCTCAGACACTCAGCCGCTGGGTGGAAAGGGAGTTCCAGTCTAGATAGAAACAATGAACTGGAGCCCAACCCAGCCTTGTGTGGCGCAATACTGCCGGTAGCTGATGGAAGAATGGATTTTAAACTGTTTTCCTTTGAAATATATATGCAACTCAATTCTCAAGGCTGGAAATAGATTCTGTGGTTGATTCTGGATCCTGAACAGCTTTTTTTGTTTACAGAAGCATTTCCGTTTACCATCTGCAACCCTGTACTGTGCAATCCAACACACAGTATACAGTGGATCATACATAACAATGTTATGATGCAGTCCTTTTACTTTTCCAGCCTGCTGGCACGTGTTCTCCAGCTAAAACTTAGGACAAAGAAATGCACAAAACAGGATGAACTGGATTATAAACCATGACTTTCACCTCCACCCAATCAGCATTCAGGATTCTCCTCCTCCTACATTCCTGCCCTGTCAATTAGACTATAAAATCCCCCCTACCACCAAATATTCCAAAGTGTTCCTCCCTAGGCTGTGCTCTTCAGGCAGGGACACAGGGCCCAATTCTCCTCTCACTTCAGTTGGAAGTGATTCCATTGACCAGTATAAGTGAGAGGAGAATCAGGCCCTGGTTTTTCATGGATGTACGGACAGCACATAAATCGTGGGTGCCACTGGAATACATTAATTAGGGTTACCATCCGTCCGGGTTACCCCGGACATGTCCGGCTTTTGGGTCTTTAAATAGCCGTCGGGGGGAATTTGTAAAAAGCTAAAAATGTCCGGGATTTCCCCCCGGACGGCTATCTAAAGACGCAAAAGCGGCTGACAGGGCAGCCGCGCCGGATTGAGCCGCTCACTTGGGGCCGCTTCGGCAGCAAAAGCCCCTCCCCCGCTTCCCCTGCAGCTTCAGCACGCCGGTAGCAAAACGGGAGCAGGAGCTGTTTGTGCCGCTACACACCAAAATATTTCTGCATTTTCCTCAACCTCTGACCATTCACAAATCAACACCCTTAACTCTTCAAGGGTCCCTAGTCCCAACAGCAGAGAAGCGTTTATACAGAAGGCTGAGCCATACAGGAAAAATCTCATATTGTGCAGGGATTTTGTTTTTATTTGTCTGCAAACGGCCTGGCACCTTTTTGCTGTTACAATCTTGGGTAACAATCATCTTGTTCGCATAAAGGATGTGGTTACCTCTGGGTGGCTGGTAGGAGCAGCCAATTTTCTAAGCCCATGATTCCAAATGCAACTGTGAAGACTCACAGAAAGGGAAGTTTTGCTGTTTCAATACTCTTTTCCCAGAGAAGTGAAAATCTAAAAGGAAGGTGGGGAGAGGGAGGATTTCCATGCACAAAAGGGAAGATAAATGTACAATAAATGTACAGCAAAGTAAATACATTAGGCCAGATTCTCAGCTGGTATAAATATCATAACTCCATTAAAGTCAATGGCGCTATGCCAGTTTATACCAGCTGAGGATCTGGCCTATTGGTTTTGTGCCTGTGTATTTATGTTAGTTGAGTTACACCGGTTTGATGCCAGTGAACGACAAAGAATCAGGTCCTCTGCTCTTAAAACAAGATTAATAATGAAAATAATCAACGATGGTGTACACATCACATTGACGTCAAGGGCCTCAGAACTAGACTCTCTGGCTACAGGCTGGCGACCACCCACACAAAGCCGACAACTTTTAAAGATTCTAGAAAGAAAAATCAGAGCTTTGTTTGAAGCAGGCTGCAGACATGTGCTCAGAGCTCCAGCACAGAGCAAAGATACTGACAAGCTTTAAAAGGGACAATGTTTCAGAGTATGCTAAAGATGCCATGATTGGACTGCGATCTCTAAAAATTGGTCAAAATTCATCCACCATATAGTAAAACAATTCATGCATCAAACCTAATGTCTAAAAACCACACATTAAAAGATTGCAAAGTGCTCTCGTACTACCTTAATGGGGGCCACATAAGTACCCAAGATAGAAATATAGAACCTACAATCTTAATGACAACCAATCCGCACATGCAACCCAGCTACCAGTTCTTGCAGCACAGCCCACAAAGTGACCAACAGCAAACTAGTGCTCACCTCTGAGGACTCTACAATAAACAAGCTAGCGCACGCAGTCCCAGTGTTCATAAACAGCCCCACAAACGACTGCCTTCAACCTATTGGAGAGACAAAGTGGGCGAGGTAATGTCTTTTATTGGACCCCCTTCTGTTGGTGAGAGAGACGTGCTTTTGAGCTTGCACAGAGAAGCTTGTCTCTCTCACCAACAGAAGTTGGTCCAATAAAAGACATTACCTCACCCACCTTGTCTCTCTAATACCCTGGACTGACACAACTACAACTACACAGCCTTCAGCCTAGTTGTTCCAAATGATCCTACAGTAACAAATTGTGACGCTGGCAGGCCAGGTGCCAGCTCTTGCCAAGGCTGCAGCCATTAGCTAAGAACTGACAAACTCATAGCTGGAGACCAGACCAGTTCATTTATGTGTTAGGTCTGGTCTACACTACAAACTTCTGTCTGTATAACTATGTTGCTCAGGAGTGTGGAAAATTCACACCCCTGAGTGACATAGTTATACCAACCTAATCCCCAGTGTAGACAGCGCTATGTTGATGGGAGGGCTTCTTCCATTGCCATAGCTACCACCTCTCTGGGATATAGAGTATCTACGCCAACAGGAGAAGCTCTCCCGTCAGCATAGATAGTGTCTTCAACAAGTGCTACAGTGGGACAGCTGCACCAGTGCAGTGCTGTAACCATAGACAAGTCTTTAGTGTTGCTCAAAATAGGTATTAGTCTACTAAGAATGTATTTAGTGTTTAGACTCTATAGAATGTATGTAAATTGCTGTATGCATTAATCTTATCTGTAATGTCTCTATTCCAGGCTGTAAGGAAATGTGTAGGTTTTGCTTTGTAACTTTGAAAATGTTTGCTCTAAACTTGTGAACTCAGATGGGAAGAGTGTTTTCCCCCCCTCCTCCTGCCTGTCCAGAAGAACCATCAAAAATCAGATGGGCCATCAAGGAACATCACAATACAAAGGACTGGTGAATGGCCCTATTGCACCTTGGAAATGCTACATGCAAGAAAGCTTGTTTTACGGTCTTGGAGGCTGAATGAAGGAAATAAAATAAAGTCACAGGAAAATGTTCCATCTCTTTTCTATTTGAACTCTCACAAAGCCAGAGACACTAAACTGAAGTCAGAGATTCCAGGGTTTACCCTTGGGTGGATCTGCCCTGAAAGACATTTTGAATTGACAGATCTCTACAACTCTGTCACTCTTAGGATTTAGACTGCAATTCATTTATGTGCATGTTTGCTTGCTTTAACCTGTAAATAACGCTCTCATTTCTTTTTCCTAGTTTATAAACTTCTAGGTAGTTTATTACAGGATTGGCTACAGGCATTGTCTTTGTCTAGGGCACCAACTGATCTGGGGTAAGTGACTGGTCTTTGGGACTGGGAGCAACCTGAATATTTTGTGATTTTTAGTGTAACTCAGCTGTTCTCAACCAGGGGTCCAAGGCCCCCTGGAAGGCCCCGAGCACATTTCTGGAGGTCTGCAGGGCTGGCATTAGACTCTCTGGGGCCCAGGAAGAAAGCAGAAACCATGCTGCCCCAAGCCCCGCCACCTGGGGCCGAAGGCGAAGCCTAGGCAGCTTCGGTGTGGGGCTATGAGCAATTGCCCTGCTTGCTACCCCCTAATGTAGTCCCTCACCTTTATATGCAGAAAAACAGTTTTTGTGGCTCAGGTTGGCAGTGGAGTTTTTCTAGAATGTTTGGGGGGGGGCAGCGTTCAGAAAGAAAAAAGTTGAGAACCCCTGGTGTAAGTGACCATTTATCACTAAGTCCAGCTTCCCTGGATGACAAGATAAACTGGAGAATCGAAGGGAACTGTCATCTGTGACTCCATGGTCAGACTGTTACAGTGATCCAGGGATTCATATTTGTCACTGGCTTGGTGCAATCTAATTATAGAACCTACACCCAGTTTGGGCTATCTACCCTGTTTTGACAGTGTGCCCTGCCACTCCAGACGCCGTGACACAAACAACCGCCTACTACCCCAGCCCTCATGCCGCTGAAACAGATCATGGCATGCAGCCACCATGCTCACAAACATTCCTACAATAAAACAGAACCACAAGGAATTCCTATACTCACATAGAGCCCTCAGTGTGCAAAGCCCCAGAACTCATGAGCATTCTTTCACTAACAAACCTGCATAGTGTCTCCAATGCCTCATAGCCACCCTACAACAAACCATTGTGTTCAGCCCCGCACTTCCAAACACACAAACCCTCACATACACTGCCAGTGCCCCGAATGCCCACTTCCCTCAAGTACCCCCATTGCACTCGGAGGTCACTGTACATTCCTCTCTGCTGTATACATTTCCCACTTTTCCTCCCTCCTTTTCAAGGAGAGATTTTCGCAAACTAACTTGAGCCAGAGACCATCCTTTCTCCTAAAAGCTGTTCATTTCTAATTTCCCCTGCTGCTGTTGAAGAATTAGAGCCAGAATGAGACCTTTTCCTGCTACCGCTCTGCAACACAGCATAGATCCACAGTTTGTGCCACTGTGCAATCTGTAGCTATGACGACAACTGTAATGTCACAAATCTGTTATTCAGACACCACTGTGGGGTTAAGCACCTTAATGAGGAGAAAGCCGTCTGGTGTAAACACAGTTCTAGCTAATTAGAATGTTAAAGTTAATTTAGTGCTAGCGAAAAGCACTGGATTTCCAGTGCAGGGGTTCATAGATTCTAAGGCCACAAGGGACAATTGTGATCTGACTCCTGTATAACACAGGCCAAAGAACTTCCCAAAATAACTCCTAGAGCAGATCTTTTAGAAAAACATCCAATTGTGATTTTAAAATCATCACTGATGGAGATTCCACCTTGGTAAATTATTCCAATGATTAATTACTCTCACTATTAAAAATGTACACCTTATTTCCAGTCTGAATGTGTCTAGCTTCAACTTCCAGCCATTGCATCATGTTATACTTTTTTCTGCTAGATTGAAGAGCTCCTTATTAAATATTTGTTCCCCATGTAGATACTTTTACACTGTAATCAAGTCTGTAATTCAAAAAGAATCTGAAGAGCAACTAGCAAAAGACATGAAAACTAACACCAAATTTTTTTTTAAGTACATCAGAATCAGGAAGCCTATCAAACAATCAGTGGGGCTACAGGACGATCACCATGCTAAAGGAGAAGTTAAATCAGGGGTTCTCAAACCGGGGGTCAGGACCCCTCAGGGGGTCGCGAGCTGTCAACCTCCACCCCAAGCCCCGCTTTGCCTCCAGCATTTTTAATGGTGTTAAATATATAAAAAAGTGTTTTTAATTTATAAGGGGGGGTCGCACTAAGAGTCTTGCTATATGAAAGGGTCACCAGTAAAAAAGTTTGAGAGCCACTGAGCTAAATGAATTCTTTGCATCAGTCTTCACTGATTTACCCCTTCATGTAACACAAGAACCAGGGATCACCCGATGAAATTAATAGGCAGCAGGTTTAAAAGAAACAAAAGGAAGTACTTCTTCACATAATGCACTGTCAACCTGTGGAACTCATTGCCAGAGGATGTTGTGAAAACCAAAAGTATAACTGGGTCAAAAAAGAATTAGATAAGTTCATGGAGGATAGGTCTATTAATAGCTATTAGCTAAAATGGTTAGGGTCAAAACCTCATACTCTGGATGTCCCTAAGCTTCTGACTGCCAGAAGGTGAGATTGGAGAAAGGGGGATGGATCATTTGATAATTACCCTGTTCTGTTCATTCTCTCTGAAGCATCTGGCACCAATCGCTGTTGGATGCAGGGCTCGAAGGACTATTGGTCTTACCCAGTATGGCCATTCTTTTGTTCTTAAGTCTCCCCTTAATCTTCTCTTTTTTAAACTAATTAGATTGAGCTTTTTGAGTCTGTCACTATAAGGCCTGTTTTCTAATCCTTTGCTCATTCTTGTGGTTCTTCTCTGAACCCTCTCTGATTTATCAACATCCTTCTTGAATTGTGGACACCAGAACTGGACACAGGGCCGTAGCAACAAAGAACGTGGCCCCCTCCGAACATATGTCCGGGCGGGGCCCCTTACAATGCAGAAACTGGAATGCGGTATTTATTTTGCCACTTTTAGGGGCCCCCTTCCTTGCGGGGCCCCCTCCGGTCGGAGGGTACGGAGGGCGCTCGCTACGCCTCTGACTGGACACAGTATTCCAGCAGTGATTACACCAGTGCCAAATACAAAGGTAAAATAACCTCTCTGCTCCTCCTTGAGATTTGCTTCTTTATGTATCTCAGACTCACATTAGCTCTTTTGGCCACAGTGTCACACGGGGAACTCATGTTCAGCTGATTATCCATCACCACCCTCAAATCTTTTTCAGAGTCACTGTTTCCTGTAGGTATGGTCTATACCCTTTGTTCCTACTTGTATATGTAGCTTTTAGCTGTAATCAAATTCCTATTGTTTGCTTGCATGCAGTTTACCAAGTGATCTAGTTCTCTTCATTATTTGCGTCTACCCTGTTCTCTTGGAATCATAGAATATCAGGGTTGGAAGGGACCTCAGGAGATCATCTAGTCCAACCCCCTGCTCAAAGCCAGACCAATCCCCAATAAATCACCCAACAGATTTTTGCCCCATATCCCTAAATGGCCCCCTCAAGGATTGAACTCACCACCCTGGGTTTAGCAGGCCAATGCTCAAACCACTGAGCTATCCTCCCTGCATCATTATGTGCTACTTCCACAATTTTTGAGTCATCTGCAAACTTTATCAGTGATGAGTTTATGTTTTCCAGGTCATTGATAAAGCTATTAAATAACGTAGGGCAGCAGTTCTCAACCAGGGGCCCAGCGTAGCCCAGAAGACCACGAGCAGGTTTCAGGGGATCAGCCAAGAAGGGCTGGTATTAGACTCTATGGGGCCCAGGGCAGAAAGCCCAACCCTGAGCCCAAGTCCCACCATCCAGAGCTGAAGCCAAAGCCCAAGCAACTTAGCTTCACAGGACACCCTGTGGCGTGGGGCCCTAAGCAATTGCCCTGCTGGCTACACCCTAATGCTGTCCTGGGCTTTTATATGCAGAAAAACAGTTGTGGTGGCACAGGTAGACTGTGGACTTTTTATAGGTGGGGGGGGGGGAAGGGGAGGGGAGGCTCAGAAAGAAAACGTTTGAGAACTCCTGGTGTAGAGCCAAGAAGTTAGAACTGATCCCTGTGGGTCCCCACTAGAAACACACCCACTTGATGATGATTTCCCATTTACAGTTACATTTTGAGACCTATCAATGAGCCAGTTTTTAATCCACTTGTGTGCCATGTTAAATCCCATCACTCTCCTTTTCTAAGCAAAACGTCACGCCGCACCAAGTCCAATGCCCTATAGTATATTGTGAAATCCTGGTGGCACCACTGAAGTCAACAGGAATTTTGTCATTGACTTCAACGGACCTGAGATTTCACCCTGGGAGCCTACTGTACTGGGGCCTCGGGTTTGGGAGACTCCAGGACATTCAGACCACGAGCTCTTTGCCGAGACTACCAGCATGGGCGGTATACGCTCCCCAACTAGGGCCAGGTGTGACGCCAATCCCCCAGCCAGTAGCTAAGCCTGATCGAAGCAGGAGGGGCTGTAACAGCCCATGCTATTGGGGGGGAGGTCCCCCTGCTTCTAACAAAGGGGGGCCCTGTGCTCCTCCCCACTGGCCTTTCCCGGAAGCCCTGTCCTTTGGGAACCGAACGGAGGCATTTCACACAGGCCACTAGCCCCAGGCTGGCGCGCTCAGGCCCCGGGGCGCCTGGCTGCTGGAGCGCCTCTGCGCTCGCCCAGCGGGCTTGGGAGGAGGACTCACAGCTGCTCGGGCGGTCTGGCCGGCTTGTTGTCCCTCTCCCCTAGCGCCAGTGGCTCCAGGGCCGCCCCAGTGTGTTACTCACCGCCGCCGGCAAAGCCCGTCCCCCTGCCCCGGCTCGGCTCGCTACAAGTTACAAGTTGGGGCAGCTGCTCGGTGCTGCCGCGGTACAAAACCCGGAGGGCCGCACAGCCAGTGGAACAGCTGGGACTCGGCGGGATCCATTCACACAGTCCCGGGCGGAGCCGGGCGCCAGGATTCCGAGTGGATCCGGGTTTTCCACTAGGCTTGAGTTTACATAGAGGGGCGGCTGGTCTCAATCCATTCCCCTCCCCCCGGGTCCTGGGAGCCACGTAAGAGCGGAACCCAAGCGCTACACCGCTTCTGATCTGACTCCTTTGCACTTCAAGCCTCCCCGTCCCCGCTAACTCTAGATTAGGCTGTGCTTTTACACCGGGCTCCTGCTGTGCGTATTGTTTGGTCCTGCATCCATGAGCCAAACTTGCACCCAGTTCAGCTGCAGAGAGGGGAAAAGTTACTAGCCGCGACTCCACAGGCACTTGCATGTGTCCCTCTGTAGATGGGACAGTCCCTAGAGTGGATCCACCCAGTGGGGTGGTATCACAAAGCAACTGTCAAAAACAACAAGGAGTCTGGTGGCACCTTAAAGACTAAGGCTATGTCTACACTACAAAATTAGGTCGGATTTATAGAAGCCGGTTTTATAGAAACCGGTTGTATGCAGCCGATTGTGTGTGTCCCCACCTAAAATGCTCTAAGTGCATGAAGTCGGCGGACCGCGTCCACAGTACCGAGGCTAGCGTCGACTTCCGGCGCATTGCACTATGGTACCTATCCCACAGTTCCCAGAGTCTCCGGCGCCCATTGGAATTATGGGTTGAGATCGCAATGCCCGGATGATGCAAAGCAGTGCCGCGAGGGGTTCTGGGTACATTGCGTCAGGCCCCTCCCCCGCCGTCACAGCAACGGCAGACAATAGATTCGCGCCTTTTTACCTGGGTTACCTGTGCAGACAACATACCACGCCAAGCATTGAGCCCGCTCAGCTCAGCTCACCGTCACCATATCTCTTCCGGGTGCCGGCAAACGTGGGACTGCATTGCTAAACAGCAGCAGCAGCTTACTGCCTTTTGGCGGTAGACGGTGCAGCATGACTGGTAGCCTTCATTGGCGATCTGGGTGCTGGCAGCTGTGGGGCTGGCAGCCGTAGGGCTGCATTGCACCAGCCCCTTGCCTTTTGGTAGAAGATGGTTTATTACGACTGGTAACCGTCGTCATCGTACTGCAGTGGCTGTCGATCATGGGCACCCGGGCAGACAATGATGGTTATCAGTCGTAGTATGCTATTTTCTGCCAAGTGCCCAATATTGTCTGCTAAGCACCCAGAAGAGGCCGATGGCGATCTGGGTGCTGGCAGACATGGGGCTGGCAGCCGTGGGGCTGCATTGCACCAGCCCCCTTGCCTTGATGATGATGGTTATCAGATGTACTATGCGTAGGATGGGGCTAGATTGCTACACAGCAGCAACCCCTTGCCTTTTGGGCAGTAGATAGCATATTACGACTGGTATCCATCGTTGTCATACTGCAGTGGGCATCAGATCGTGCAATAGACCTGAAGGCTTACTGCCAAGCGCCCAGTATTTGCTGCCAAGCACCCAGAAAATGCCAAGGGCTATCAGTCATGCTGCACCGTCGTCTTAAGATGTAAAAAATAGATTTATTCTGCATTCATTTGCTTCCCCCCTCTCTCCTGCTAAACCCAGGCTTTTGAGTTCAATCTTTGGGGGGGGGCCATTCTGTGTGACAGTTGTTTGTGTTTCTCCCTGATGCAAAGCCACCTTTCTTGATTTTAATTCCCTGTACCTGTACGCCATGTCGTCACTCACCCCTCCCTCTCTCCCTCCCTCCCTTCTTCCCCTGGTCCGTCAGATACTACTTTCGCGCCTTTTTTCAGACCAGACGCCATAGCCAGCACTGGGATCATGGAGCCCGCTCAGATCACCGCGGCAATTATGAGCACTATGAACACCACGCGCATTGTCCTGGAAAACATGCAGAGCCTCCTGGACATGCCAAAGCCAAACCAGGACCAGCTGAGGAGGAGGCGATTGCAGCGCGGCGACGATAGTGATGAGGAAATTGACATGGACCTCTCACAAGGCACAGGCCCCAGCAATGTGGAAATCCTGGTGTTACTGGGGCAGGTTCATGCCGTGGACCGCCGATTCTGGGCCCGGGAAACAAGCACAGAGTGGTGGGACCGCATTGTGTTGCAGGTCTGGGACGATGCCCAGTGGCTGCGAAACTTTCGCATGCGTAAGGGCACTTTCATGGAACTTTGTGACTTGCTTTCCCCTGCCCTGAAGCGCCAGAATACCAGGATGAGAGCAGCCCTCACAGTGGAGAAGCGAGTGGCGATAGCTCTGTGGAAGCTTGCAACGCCAGACAGCTACCGGTCAGTCGGGAATCAATTTGGAGTGGGCAAATCTACTGTGGGGGCTGCTGTGATCCAAGTTGCCAGGGCAATGAGAGACCTGGTGATATCAAGGGTAGTGACTCTGGGAAACGTGCAGACCATAGTGGATGGCTTTGCTGCAATGGGATTCCCAAACTGTGGTGGGGCGATAGACGGAACCCATATCCCTATCTTGGCACCGGCGCACCAAGCCACCGACTACATAAACCGCAAGGGGTACTTTTCAATGCTGCTGCAAGCCCTGGTGGATCACAAGGGACGTTTCACCGACATCAACGTGGGCTGGCCGGGAAGAGTACATGATGCTCGCGTCTTCAGGCAGTCTCTTCTGTTTCGAAAGCTGGAGGAAGGGACTTTCTTCCCGGACCAGAAAATAACCATTGGGGATGTTGAAATGCCTATCGTGATCCTTGGGGACCCAGCCTACCCCTTAATGCCATGGCTCATGAAGCCATACACAGGCAGCCTGGACAGCAGTCAGGACCTGTTCAACTACAGGCTGAGCAAGTGCAGAATGGTGGTGGAATGTGCATTTGGCCGTTTAAAAGCGCGCTGGCGCAGCTTACTGACTCGCTCAGACCTTAGCAAAAAGAATCTCCCCATTGTTATTGCTGCTTGCTGTGCTCTCCACAATATATGTGAAAGTAAGGGGGAGACATTTATGGCGGGGTGGGAGGTTGAGGCAAATCGCCTGGCCGCTGATTACGCGCAGCCAGACACCAGGGCGGTTAGAGGAGCACAGCAGGGCGCGGTGCGCATCAGAGAAGCGTTGAAAACCAGTTTTGTGACTGGCCAGGCTACGGAGTGAAACTTCTGTTTGTTGCTCCTTGATGAACCCTCTGCCCCTCCCCCACCACCCTGTTAACTCTACTTCCCTGCAAACCAACCACCCCACCCTCCCCTACTACCCTCCCCCCTTCGAGCACCACTTGCAGAGGCAATAAAGTCATTGTTGCTTCACATTCATGCATTCTTTATTAATTCAGCACACAACTAGGGGGATAATTGGAAAGGTAGCCCGGGATGGGTGGGGGAGGAGGGAAGGAAAAGGACACACTCCAATTTAAAACTTTAAAACTTATTGCTATGGAAATCATCTAGGGTGGAGTGAGTGGGTGGCCGAAGGCCCCCCCCACCGTGTTCTTGGGCGTCTGGGTGAGGAGGCAATGGGACTTGGGGAGGAGGTCTGTTGGTTACAGAGGGGCTGTAGCGGTGGTCTCTGCTCCTGCTGCCTTTCCTGCAGCTCAACCATACGCAGGAGCATATCACTTTGATGCTCCAGCAGCCGGAGCATCGACTCTTGCTTTCTGATTACAAGTTGACGCCACCTCTCCTCTTCAGCCCGCGTTTCAGCACGCAACTTCTCCTCTTCAGCCCGCGATTCAGCACGCCACCTCTCCTCTCGCTCATATTGGGCTTTTTTAAAATCAGTCATTGACTGCCTCCACGCATTCAGCTGTGCTCTGTCAGCGTGGGAGGCAGTCTGAAGTTCAGTAAACATTTCGTCACGCGTCCTTCGCTTCCTTCTTCGAATATTCACTAGCCTCTGCGAAGGAGTAAGATTTGCAGCTGGTGGAGAAGGGAGAGGTTGTTAAAAAAGATACATTTTAGAGAACAATGGGTAGACTCTTTCACGTTAGATTTTGCTGTTCACAACATCACACAGCACATGTGCTTTCGTTACAAGGTCGCATTATTCCTCTTATATTGAGAGTCTCCTGGTTTGGTGTGAGAGATCACTCACGCAGTGCCAGGACACAGATTTCAGCTTGCAGGCAGCCATGGTAAGACATATAGTCTTTGGGCTTTTTTAACCTTCTTAACATGTGGGGATGGTTTCAAACAGTTCTGCCCTCATTTCCCATACCAAGCACCCGTGCCATTTAAAATGGGTTTGCAATGTAAAAGGAGGGGCTGCGATTTCAGGTTTAACATGCAGCACAAACCCAACTAACTCCCCTCCCCCACACACCCAATTCTCTGGGATGGTCACTTCAACCCTCCCCCCCACCGCGTGGTTAACAGCGGGGTATATTTCTGTTCAGCAGAGCAGGAAGGGGCACCCCTGAATGTCCCCTTAATAAAATTGCCCCATTTTAACCAGGTGACCGTGAATGATATCACTCTCCTGAGGATAACAAAGAGAGATAAGGAATGGATGTTGTCTGCATGCCAGCAAACACCGGGACCATACGCTGCCATGCTTTGTTATGCAATGATTCCAGACTACGTGCTACTGGCCTGGCGTGGTAAAGTGTCCTACCATGGCGGACAGGATAAGGCAGCCCTCCCCAGAAACCTTTTGCAAAGGCTTTGGGAGTACATGAAGGAGAGCTTTCTGAAGATGTCCCTGGAGGATTTCCGCTCCATCCCCATACACGTTAACAGACTTTTCCAGTAGCTGTACTGGCCGCGATTGCCAGGGCAAATTAATCATTAATCATTAAACACGCTTGTTTTTAAACCATGTGTAATTTTTGCAAAGGTACACTCACCAGAGGTCCCCTGTGTGCCCTCAGGGTCTTGGGTGAGTTCGGGGGTTACTGGTTCCAGGTCCAGGGTGACAAACATATCCTGGCTGTTGGGGTAACTGGTTTCTCCGCTTCCTTGCTGCTGTGAGCTATCT